TTTAACTCATTTTACATCCTTGAAAAAGATGAGTGTCTTAGAAAGAAGTTCAAGCAAAATAAAGGGTGAATTGAACAAAGGTTATGCAGCAAGAAATTTAAGCCAAAACTCAGCTGACATCTGTTAACTATAAAAGTTCACAGATAATGCTTGGTCTTCTGGGAGACACTTGCTTTTCTTTCCTAGAGTTATATTCTTCAGGATTGCCAGCAGGTCCTTCCCACCTCCGGAATTTGCTACAAGACTCTATTTCCCTCATAGATGTTTTTCCAAGTGCAAACTTGGCAAACTCAGGTGCACTTCTTGGAACTAATCTGGTCATGGGAGCTTAAATTAGGACCAGGTTGCAGTGGATGCATGTGAAGCAAATATGGGAGCAGTATTTTAATCAAGTTTGATATGGGTGAAGATTCATTTATTTCCTAGTCTTGTGCTGTTGCTGCTGTTAGAGGAGCAACCATGTTAGACATGGGTATGTCTGCTTTATGTAGCTGTTGCTTTTCCTCCTGGTGCTACTGAGCAATTTGTGTTTAGAAACAGCATGCAGGTGTGACTTTTTTTTTTTTTTAAAGGGAAATTACTTTCCTAAAAGGTGTTTGAGGAAATGGGGATGTTTGTGATTGTGCACAGGAGATATGTATTGTGACATTTAAGGCTATTGGTACTGATGGTGGGAATTCTTTTGTTTGTTTCTAAGAGAGTCTTGTTTACTTTTTTAATTATTAAAAAAAAAAAAAGTACAAAGTCTAGAGTGAATGCAAGCCATTAAATTACACAGTTTTGGTGGTAAGCTTCCAGAGTCAGAATGGCCTTCAAACAGGTTGAAAGGTATGTGTCAGCCTATGCTGAACCAAAGTGGGGTGAGAATCGGGTTGGAAGAAGGGTCACAGCTATATGGTTTCCATCCTAAGAATGACCTAGAGAAGGGTTGTGGAGCAACAGTGGTTGCTGTTTTGTCCCCATATGAGAGCAAGACACTTAGGAGGGGTCACACTGTGTTCCCTGATGTTGCTCAAAGAATGAGGGCTGTGGATATTCAGTTGTTGGCCTACGGTCATGTTTGTTTGGTCTCTGACACTTATGGATATTAGTTTTCTGTGGACTTCACATGAAAACAACCAGGTAGAAAGTAGCAATGCTGACACAATGTTTAATGGACAGCTGTAGCTTCTGTCCAGTTATCTGCCCCTGCTTGTTTTGTGATTTTTTTGTGGGACAGCCTGTGTATCCTGCAGTTTCAAACCACGGAAGAAAAATATGTGAATGTGAATTTACAAAACTTACGTTTTGTTTCTTTTTCTGTACCATTCTGCTTCAACTTGTATACCTGATGGTTACCAGAAGGGAAGTAGTGACTTATACCCCTTCTTCTACACAAAAATTCTGACTGGAATATTTTGTTGAAGGAGCCATATACATTTGGATTGCTCTTGAATAAAATAAACCCCAAACACAAGAGTTATATAAGTTTGATTTATAATTTGGGAAGGTTGAAAAAGGCCTCATGAAGGCCTGCGTGCACTGAGGTTATTTACAGGTATAAGGTTCACACTTGAAATACGGTCGGCTGATGCTCTGTACAATTGTCACTTTTGGTTGCCATATAGCTTCAGTAACACGCGCTGTGGAAAATTCTACACAGTTATTCAGCAGCACTGCAATGAAATAGATATACTGATGTCATTCTCTTTTCACCCATTAACAAGTGATTGGACCAACTTCAAGTGAATAGAAACGTGATTTCTATCCGCATACTTGGTCCTCTGGACCACATGCCTTCCCGTTGCTAATAAAGATAACGCCACCTATTTGAAGACATCGGCAGGCATATTTAAAACCCAAGATGAATTGAGCACATTTACTGCGTTAGAAGCAGTTGCTAAATTGTAAGTAACTAAGTCTTGTTGTATGACTGCATTGCACTCAAGGGAACAATTTAGGTTTTGAATTGTATATGTTGGTAAGTGAAAACTATGTAGACATTGATTATTTTTTCCCCTTGACCTAATCACTGTTTGCCTATGGCAATATCTGATATGTTACGTGTTCACCAAGAATTGTCTTGGGGCCGTAATGAGGCTTTTTTTTTTTAGCTTCATTAGTAATCATAGTTATATTAGGAATAGAAGGCAATGGAGCAATATACTTGTACTGTACTACACGAGTTTTTCTATTTATTGTAAAGGTGGAAGTGAACTCTCTAGGTGGGAGTCTGAATTTGTAAAGACAGAGGAGGAGGTCAGATTTGAATCTTTGTGCATTTTCAGCAAGAATTTAATTTAAAAAAAATGGAAGGCAAATGCCTATTTAGATTATTTATTTTTTTAGGTGTTGTGAAAAAATCCTTTGTTTCTCCTTATGTATTTGTAGTCTAATGATAGAACTTTTCTTGGTAATACTACAGAATATGACAATGATGCTGAGTAAAATAAAATTTAGTAATGCATTTTTCATTGTCTGAATTGAACAAGCTGCCAAAAGTAAATGACATAAATAGTGAGAAGAATGTTTCCTCTTCTCCCCCTTCCCTGGGAATCTGATATGTATCACACTTTAGACAAAAATTAAAAATTCCAACAGAGTACCTTCAGAAATGTGTTTAACTTTTGACATACTGTTGATTCCTTCAAATGGTAATTTTGTTTCTGTGCTATAATACTTGTTTGTAGTGTAAGGGATTGTGCCAAAAAGTGTAAAAGATCGAACTTTTAACTTCTACCTAGAGGTCATGTAACTAGACACATGGACACTCTGCTTGTTCAATGAAGTGTTAGCAATTAAAAAATTCCCACATGAATATTTGCATGCGTAAGAGGCCAAACTGTGGCCTACCTAAATATAGACCTGCAGTTTGGTATTTCTGAGAACTAATTCTAGGACAAAACACCTTTTCCTCCATTGACTTGTCTACTCTTGTGCTTTTTTTCCAGCTATGCAGCTGACAGCTGAGCAGTTTTTATTTTAGCTTAGAGCATTCATTTTGCATTATCTTTTAATATAAGTGCTTATTTTATGCTTTGTTTTTCAAAATATACGTGATGGAGTATTGCCTTTTTTCCTCCTGAACATCGATGACTCATATGAAAGTGGACTTAGATGCTGCACGTGGAAGTGTGTGCTGTTGTTGCAGTGAGAGCAGTTCTCAACTTGTAAGATCTGTTAACTGGAAACGGGTGTGTAAAGAGATGTTCAACCTTGGAAATGTGATGGCACAATATTGCTTTGAAAAGACAGTTACCAAGAAATAGGGTGATGCTTTTGATGTTTGTATCCACATGAGGGAGACAGTGTGACAGGCTCATTTGCCTTAATTGGTGGCAAAACTTGCCAACCTGAAGCACAGTGTTGGAGGAATCACTGAATGCACTAGCTGTCTGTAACATTACCAGCTCCTTCTGCTATTAACTGATATGCCTATACAGATTTTATTTTTCCCTTCTTAGATGTAACTGAGATTGAGACTTCTGAATTGTAAACAAAGCCATCCAACATGCCTTCTGAGCTTTTTCTTTGAAACAAACAAAACCTTAGTGTGGTCATGGCTTTCTCTGTCTAATCTTTGGACTTCTGCCCTAATATGTAAAATAATATCTTAGTCTGTGGAAAACACTGACTTTTAACTCAGTGTTTTGTTGCTCAGCCTTTATGGAAATGTTACTGAAGGTGGCCAACAGAGTCAGTCAGCTATAAATGAAAGTCTCTTAGAACAGCTGACTTCAGTATAGTAGATGTTTCTTTTTTAGTTTGAAAAGAATCGTTCTTTGTAGCTTATTTAGGGTCATACTCTGCTAGGAAGTTCTGTAGTGATGAGAGGCTTTTCTCAAAAACCAACCACTTTTGTTCAGGGCAGCTCCTAGGGGATCTGGAACCTTGCCTGAAGATGCCTAACGTTGCCCGTAGGTAGCATGAATTAGCAAAATGTTTGGAACATACATAATTTTCCTGTGTTGTGCTTGACAGTATTGTGAAGATTTGGTTAGCAGGCAGACTTATTGTTGCTTTAGAAATTTATATGGACCAGTTGTAATTAAATCATTTACAGCAACGTCCCATATTTAATTACTTATCGGTGGTATTGTCCCCTTTTCAACCTTGTAGGGGCTTAATTACAATTAGCTGATACGTTCATAAAGCTCACTTTCATGGTTTAGCTAAAACCATGGCCAGTAAACTATTTCCTGATTTTTATTTGCTGTAGTACTGTTGAAATATTGTATTTCGTTTTGAAGACAAGCCCACATTGTTTATGAAGTGGCTGTCTGGGTTGGTAGATGAGGGGAAACAAAACCTCTAAATTATTTCTGGTAACAAAGATGAACAATCTGTTTTTGTAAATTTATAAATTTTTGTTTCAACTTCTCAAGGTGAAGCAACATAAATATTTAAGCAACTTTATTGTTTCAGAGTTGACTTGGGATCTCTTGCTTTGCTTAAGCATGAAACAGATAAACTACCTTTTGTCCTGATCTTTTACACAAATAATCACGGTTGCTTACTTTTTTTTGCTTGTTTATTGTTTGAAGTAATTGGAAGAATACTGTGGGACAACTCTTTAATGTGCTTTTATCAGGTTTTTAACTGTTCATCGGGAGTGTTCCAAAAATAATACCAGGCACGTTTAAATGTGTGGCAGAGAAGGAATAAGCTGTGGTTTATCCCAAATACACGGTCGGAGGTACTCATTTCTTGAGGTTATCATGGTCTCAATCCCTAATTTTTAAAAGATTTATTTACTTTGCATTTTTGCATTTATTTAATATAATTCTATTAAGTCTACATCTCAAGAATTTAGTGTTTCTTTGTGCTTAGAATAGATACGTAGTCACTGTCTCTTCCTTCCCCTTAACCAAGAGTTAAAAATAAACCTATAAAACAATGGCAATATGAAACAACTCGCTGGCAGTAATCAAGCTGGAAGCAAGCTGGTACTTAACCAGAGGAATTCTGCTTTGGCGTGCACACGCCTTAGAAGTAGCTGTTGGAAAATTTAAAAATGAAAAAACGCATGTGCGGTCTTTTCAGGAGAAATCTTCCCTGTGAGTAATAAAAGCAGCTTCTTTTGGCAGACAAGAGACTGTGGAAACTTCGGTCTTGCATTAGGGGATAATACCAGCTTCCTTAAAATATAATTTTAAAGCTGAATTTTCTCAAATTCTGCATTTTTCTCTGCTTTATCCTTTTCCCCTTCCCCTCCTCTAGTCTTTCTCTAATAGTCACTCCTGGCCCAAACTTGTATACAGCATTATTATAGCCTCATGTTATAAAACTGAAAATTTTACAATGAAAATAATGATTTGTAATAAAAAGCCTGACAGACTAATTACAGTATTGCATTAATTATTATCTTATTTCAGCTCTGTTCCTCTCACAGCTAATTCAGATCTGGGTTTTGGTGGTTTTTAAAACCCAATCGACACTGTAATTTTGAGAGAGAGAATATACTGGGGAACAATATATATAAATTCAAGAAATAAAAATTGTCAGATAAAACAGTTGATTTCTAAAATGTTGCCTTGGACATGTTAGTAGTAGAATGCAAGTAGTTCTGCTTAAAAGTGATGCTTTGTGGATCTCGCAGTGAGTGTAACATCTCATATAATACAGGTGTAACACCTTACTATATAATACAACTCTTGAAATCTTCCATTTCTGGATATCTTTATAGCTTGTACTAAATAGCAGTCATTAATTCAGAAATTTGTGCATTGTGCAGCTGAGTTGGTACATCATTGATGTATTTTACGTTCTGAGTTTTATTTTTTCTCCCAAAATGTGTGCAATTCTTATAATGATTAAGGTATAGATTGATGTCAGTGCTACAGTATAGCTTCAAGACTGCAATTTGAAGCTACTTTAGAAAAATACAGTTCTTTAGACATGGTGAAGCTGAAGTTGAATGGAAGTCCTATTAGTGGTGAATTACATGTAAATATTAATAAGGGAAGAGTTCATAGCAAGTCCTGAGTTTGGGAAATTGAGCATGATAATTTGCTGAAATGATGTCTGTCTTGAAGATGTGCAGGTGCAATAATTTTCAGTTTTTATTTGAACTTTTAAATGGTGCAGAAGGTGCCGGGGCTAGTTTTTAAGCAAGAAAGTGTTTGGAAGTTTTGGCAAATATCATTGTAATGGATGTATGGTAATGAAAGAAGTTAAGATGAAAGATGAATTGGCCTGAATGACTGTTCAGTCATTTAGGCTAGGCTGGTTGCATGGTTTGGTTGTTAGACATCTCAAATTACGTTGCCTTAGTTCCTGCACTCGGTTGGCTGTCTTCACATCTTGACAAAGTTCTGGGAATTAGTTTCTGACAGTTTGCTTTGTTTTCCTTTTTCAGGATGCTTCGTCTGCAGACATTCGGAAAGCATATCGAAAGCTTTCCCTAATTTTACACCCAGACAAGAATAAGGATGAAAACGCAGAAACACAGTTTAGGCAAGTAAGTGCAATGTGTGGCATTAAAAGTTTTAGGGAAAATAGAATCAGAATTTTTTATGATGATGTTGTTCTAGTAAGAACAATGGTACACCTTTGAAGTGACTAAGTTGAACACTGTATTACATTTTTCCTGGTGTAGCTAGATTAAAAACAAGTACACTTTTTTGGAATTAATTTGTTGAATAACTCAGATGTAGTATTTACCTGTATATTAAAAATAATTTGAACACTTAGACTTATACTCTTAGAAGGAAAATGTTTTGCACTTCTGTAAGACTGTTTATAAATAGTCTTTTCAAAAGCAGTAGGGAAAATTTCTGGTCAGTTCTCAATGCAAGTCATTTAGGCATAATTTAATGAAAATAATTAATTTTAGTTTTTGAATTTTTGCCTTTTGAATCTTTACAGGGTGAAACATGAGACTGTTGTAATTAGCTCTGCCTTTAAAAATACACTTCTGATGACTAAATACAGGCTACTTAATTTCAGTAAGGTTTTTAGGATGAAACGAATGATACCTTTTATTTTTAAGGTGTAACTGAGACAAGACTCAGTTTGACAGATGTGAGGAGGGAAAAAACCAAATCTTTTGTAGGAGTTGCTTGTCTGCGTATCTGATGACACTTTGTATATGAATATGTCACTGTTTCTTTTGCTTACTGAGTTTGCTTCTTAGTGCTGTAGGGAAGAGTGAAAACTAGCAAAGGCCATTAGTCGTGAATGTAAAATACGATACTGCTATTCAAACTTTATAAACTCAATCCTTAAGTAAACTCTTTTGCGCGTTTTTTTTTCTGGTTTTGTTTTAGTTGGTGGCCATCTATGAGGTTTTAAAGGATGAAGAAAGGAGACAGAGGTGAGTTAATTTGCACAGGTTCTTAAATAAAGTATTCATGCCAGTGATATATTGAAGTCCTATTTGGCTTAATTGTAACTTTTCAGATTAATTTTTGCATAATTTAAGTTTGTAATTCCTATGTAGCTGTTTAATTAAAGATTTTGTGTGGCTTAAAGGGGAAGCTGGTGTATATTTTTGTGTGATATACTGGTTATTCTTCTTTAAAACTAGTATTTGAAAAAACTTTAAAAGCTAGCTGTTATTTGGAGCAATTTTTTTGACACTTAACAATTATATCACTTTTTGTTGAGTTGTGTCAATTATCATTGCTTGCTTTATTAAAGCTGTGGTTGAAAATATAGGCCACTGATTCAACTGTCAGTTGTATCTCATTATATCAATAAAAGGTTTGTTGCATGATATTTAGGGATTATTTCCAGTGTATGTCTCTTCAACATTGTTTTCTGTTGCTTAGTGCATTGTTTTTTCTTTCAGATGTTTTATCTATAATACTGTAAACTTTCATATACATAGCATAATTTTTTTTAAAATAAATTATAGTTGTCCTTGCAGCTTCAGGAGCAGGTCCAGCAGTACCTGAAGGGGATAGGATTAAGAATTGAAAACCTGGGGCTGATCTGCTTTCTGGAAGACTGTTTTGAACACACACACACCCCTCCCCCCTTTTAAGCAGATGACCATTTAAACTAATGATTATCAAGAAAACTGAGACACTGAACGAGTTTTGCTTTTGGGTTGGAATTTTGGTAAATCATCCTTTGGCTTACAAGTCTTTAAACAGAGCTTCACAAGACATTTCTTGAAGGGTTTTTGGCTTTGTAGACGTCTTGGCAGGAGTCCAGGTTTTATAGTACAGATTAGCTACTTTTTGATAATCCTCTCTTGAAGTGTCATGAAAATGTTCTTCATAGGAAGTACTTTTGGAAATTTGTATTTTTTTTTTTATTTCACCTCTCACAAGAGAATTTTGTTGTGAAGTTCTACTCAAGGAAAGTTTTAAAAAAAAATGCTAGTTACATAGTTTTAGACCACTTGAAAAGTGAGTTATCCCCAAAATTTTCCCACCATTTTGTTTATAACATTATTTACATACACTTTGTGATATTGCCTTTCTGGAACTTAGTTCCAGCATGTAACTTCTAGGAATTCCCTTGCAGCTGTAAAAGCAGTATTTTGCACGGAACCGTGATGCAGTAGCTTGTAAAAAATTATGTTTTTAAGCCTTGGATACATTATGAATGTGACTAACTTTCCCAACTTGTTTGTGAGAATATTGTTAATTAGTGCAGCACAGTGATTACAAATGAGAAGTTAAAGCAGCAGTAGATTGTTCTAGCTTAGATTGATTTCATTGTCAATAACTTATTTTGTACGTAGACAATGTCATCTTTTTCTTGCACAGTGTGGATGTGTGGTTGATATTGCTTCTATAGTTGATTAAATATAAATATAGTGGATTAAATGGTGTTTACCTTCAGATAATTTTCTGGAAATAATATGTGGAGTTTATAAATAACAAGTAGAGTAGCAGAGCTGTATGGTCTCATTGCTTTGAGAAAACCTTTATTGATCAGATTTATTACACAGTCTAATGATAAACTCTCAGTTGAGCTTGTAAATGGAGGGTGGTCTAACCTGTAAGGCATTGCTGTAACATGTCTTTAAAACAAGTCTTAAGTAAGTTGTGCTAGGAACTGCTCCCCCTGTAATATTGTTTCTGGTGTAAGGGTTTCTTGCAACTGTATGGCAAAGGAAAGGGGAGAGTCGTTGCTTTTTGGGATCTTCCTACTTTAGATGTTGATATTTGGCTATGCATTGTGTGAGGTGATGGACCTAGTGGAAGAAGCTCGAAGTTTACTGTCCTGCCCATGCATTGGGGAGAAGCTACGCTGCACCCTTTGTCTCTCGGCTTATCAACTCAGTAACTCAGTTTTATCCTGAATCCAGAGACACTTATTTGGGTCTGCTGTAACAAGGCTTTCTGCCAGATTTTTTTTTTTTCTTTCCCCTTGGCACTGTGGTAGTTTTTATTTCGAAAGTAACTCAAAGACCTGATGGGATGAGGTGGAAATTAATTCCATTTCTTACAAATTAGTTGGTGAGGAATTCTGGCAGTTTAGCTGGGAATCCCATCACAACTGGACACCTAAATGGTTTGGGGCACGGGATTACACTGCCTCGAGAAGAGTGAGCTGCAGGCTTCTGCTTCTGTACAATGAAGTTGTATCTGTACCTGCCTCTTACTGTTCACCTCAAAAGTGATGTAATCCAGCATTGGTCCTGGTGTGCGTACAGAGAGTGGAACAACTAAAGGCAAGAATAAGGTCCTGCACTGTATGAGTGAGTGATTAACTCATTTTGAAACAATAAAATTACACCGTTCCTCCATGTCTTGGTGAATATCAGAGGTGTTAATTGTTTGTGTGCGCGTAGAGAAACAGCATTCTAAAAAGGCAGATCTGTTGGCCAGCTATATGTAATTATTTTTCTAAAACCTTTGTATTTTCATGTTTATCAGTGAATTTTTACTTTAGCTGATGGCAGACGTCTTTCTTAAAATATTATAGTTCTTCTACTGACAATTATAATACAGGGCTTTATAATTAAAATGTGGTTTGCTTTTTTGAGAAAGTTATATATTTGCTTGTGAAGTATACTAATATTATTATTAGAACTACAGAATATAGTAATATTACTGTGTCAGTACTTTTTTCTTACACACTTTGACTGATACAAAATCAAAAGATTCTAATATTCTAACATTAAACATACATGCAGCATTGTTTAATGTAGCAGTGTTTAACATTAAATTAAACATACCTGCAGCAGAACATAATATTTTATGTTTTGTATACACACTGCAGAGTGTGTGAAATTCTACAGAAAAGTTTATCTTTAGGGTATGTAGAGATAGGTTCATTTCCCAAAATACACTTTACTTTAGGACATTTATTGGTAAATCAACTTGACAATGATAAATTTTATTAGCCTTTGATTATTTTTATTTTTTGAAAAAGTAGATAGTTTTAAGCACTTCTATTAATTGTAATTAGGCAAAAATCTTAGCTTTTAATTTCATTGTTTGTTACCATTTTAAGGAGCTTTTTTTACCTACCAGGCCTACCCTCTGTAACAATGTGGGCTTGATTACAGGAAGCATTTGCAAAGGAATCAAGATACACTTGTTTAGAGTAAGAAAGGTGTTTATCTTAGCTCTCATTATAATTAAATGTCTGTATTCATAAGTATAAATTGTTCTGCCTGATGTTGTACTGGATGTCTTTGACAGCTTGAGGAAAAAAGGCCCCCAAAATAAAAAACGCCAGTGCAGTCTTCCCATAGTTCAGAATAGATCTCATTAATTCAAGGTTATAGTATGTAAACTATAACAGATCTCTGAAATTGTTTGAAATATGAAATGCAGTGGCTCTCTTAAAGGGAAAAGTAAATTATAATTCTATTAACATAGATGATATTGTAATTAGCTACTACAGCTAATGGATTTTTTTTCTTGCAATGTAATTGATTCTACAAAGAGCTCTAAAAAATATTTCATGAAACTTCACAGAAGAATGAAATTTTAATGATCTTGCAATTGGTTACTTGTTAGTACAAGACTACCAAGTCTTGTATAGAATCCTAAGTTTTAAAATAAAGATTCAACTTCAGTTACAAATGGGGATTTTTTTGTCTTTTTGTTTCTGTACTCATGCTTTGGGGTTTTTTAGCTTGCCGACTGCTACATTTCAGAGACAACTGGCAGGCATACTCATATGTCAAATATTTGCTGCATTCTGTGTACATATGTCTGAGGAAAAAATACTGCAGATGTATTTTTCCTTTTCAGCTTGATTTTTTTTTTCCTTACATAGAGTAACAATTAATATAGGTTGCCAAAAGAAGAATGCTTTGTAATTAAATATTGAATGTAGTTCTTGATGCACATGGATTAACTATCTTTCATAGTTAATATAGGTTTCTATAAAGAAATTCTTTCATGAGAAACTTGGTTTTAATTAAACCACATCCTAAATTTGGAAATCAAGATTTAAAAATTATGGGAAGCTTCTGAGTTTCAGTAGGATAGTTTTCCAGTTGAAAACCTAAAAATCACTGATATCTTTATTTTTCAAATACAGAGCTTAATTACTCTTGAAAGCAGTGATTTATCTTTTAACAGTATATATTCTAAAAAGTGGGTTATAATAGAAGCTATCTTCCCTTAAAATGGCCAGTCGTGTGAGCCATAATGCTCATTGATAGTAAAATCAATAGAGCATTGATTCTGAGACTTAATCCTTGGAGACTGTTGTTCAGAACAGCGGACATGGCCTAGTAAATACAGAGTGCTGTTTAAAGTGTTTAATGCAAGAGACTCTGCTGTCTTAATTTATTTTTTTGTAACAGATAATTTATAATAGAACATGGTTGCCAAATGTTAGTTTGCAATCTTGTTTTACGTATTACTATATTGTTACCATTAGCATATATGGACCTTATTTAATCAGTACCCATATTTTCAGTACATCAGTTAACAAGTCTTAGTGTGTAAGAAAGGCAAATGCTTAATAAATTTATAGTAGTATTATAAAAAATGCTTTCTTGATTCTACATATATTTCTCTGAAGCTTTCAAAGGAAGAGCATCTTTTGTGAAATCTTGTTATCAACCTAATTTGTTTTAAAAATGGTTTTGTTTCTAAAATGTTTTCTTGTATTCTAACAATAAAATGTTTAGCAAATGCATTATTATTTTTAAATGCTAAAACTTCTACTTAATTCTTAAACCAAAAGTTAAGTAGAAGTTTCAGTTTCGAAATAACATCCTAAGCAATTTTTCTGAACAGAGTTTGTGTTAAGGCATCAGTAGTTAATTCGTTCTGACTTACTGGGAAAGGAAAAAAGTTATTACTTCAAATTTTACAATAATGGATATTAGTATGCTCATAATTGTCATGGAAGATAGAATTTTGTAATATGAGTTTTACTTCTGGTATCATTCAGAACACTGCAGAATCCTGAGATGTTAAGTCTTTTGCACAGAAATAACGGTGCCAATTTGAACAAATGTTTTATCAGAAGTCAGCTTTTCTAGATGCACTGAATTAAAGTATATTTTTTAATTGAAAATCATTGCCTTTTTTTCTGCTTAAAAAAATGAATTTGCTTGTGGAAATTTTTTTTAGTACATCTCCAAGGTATCAATTTAATAACTATCAAAGTAGCTAGTGCAGTTGTTGCATTTAAATTGATTTACATGTCAAGACTGGCAGTTTAGCAGCTGCGCTATTATTCCTGGATCGGTCAATTTACTTGAGAAAAACCTACTACTGAGTTCTACTGACCTGCATGACAATATAGGCCCTATTTCTATTCCTGTAATTAGGCCTGCGACTAACTCAGAATATTTTTAATTAAAATATTTTGGTCAATGTGTTGCACCAAATTAGGCCTTTCAGTGCAGATTTAATTCTGGAAACGGTGTGATTAGAATATGTAATGAGTTGTGTTCAGTTTAAGATTAACAGGTTGTGCATCTTGAACATACAGGTTTTTGAGTTTACTGTAGAGATTTTTGTTTGAAGCTTTACTCTGAAAAGTTAACAAATAGGAAAATCTGTTTTGCATGTCTGTGGTTTGTTTATTTTTAAATTAATGGTAACATACTGTAAACAAAAGACCCCAGACATACTAAGGTATTTCAAGACATTTGTGCGAAGAAAAGCTGACAAATTGTCATAAAATGGTTTCTGTGCAGTTAGTAGTGTTAGTAAAATTAAACAGTTTTAAAAATAGATTGATTTTGGAGACAGCTTTTCAAATAGAAAATCAGAATTGTCTAGCTGTAGTGAACTTTGTTTTCTAACATCAAAATCAAGCCTTTAACTTAAATTCGTATCTGACACAGAATGGATGTTAAGTCTGGCAGCATTTTTACCTAATGGATATCGTGCTACTAAAGGACAAAACAAAAGCGAAGATACCTCTCCCCTCCCCCCAACACTTGTGCTTTTAATTTGTAAAAGAAAAAAAAGGTTCCTAGTGTTTGAGACTTTCGTTCTTTGCTACCTATTTAGTAGTTTGTGGTTTGTTATTTACTTCTACCATGGAGACCTGCCCACTGATAACCAGGCAGGTAGAACACATCTACGTTTCTAGAAGGCTGTTGTTTCAGAAGTGAATGAACTGGGGGTGGGGGGGTGTTGCAGGAGCAATCAAATTACGCCCCCCCCCACCCCCGAAGACTAGATGCATTTCCCCAGTGTTTGGTTCTGGATTCTGTTTGTTTCCAGATGCAAGCCTAGCAGCTGACAAAACAAGGCATTGCTCTATTTAAAAAAAAAAAAAAAAATTAACTACATTATCTTTTGTGTGTGTATTATTCAAGCAGTCTGTGGATTATCATTTGTTTTGTTTTATAATTGGATGGTTTGGCTTATTTAATTTTTAGCTCTCCATGAACGCCTGTTATATTTGCTACTGTAGGTATGATGATATTCTGATCAATGGACTACCAGATTGGCGACAGCCTGTATTCTACTACAGGCGGGTGAGAAAAATGAGCAATGCTGAGCTGGCATTACTCTTGTTCATTATACTCACAGTGGGTCATTATGCTGTGGTTTGGTCAATCTACCTGGAAAAACAGCTGGTAAGTATTGGTAATAAATCAAACTTGCTTCAATTATTAGTATTGAATTTCCTGCAGAAGTTTGCATATTATAGGGTTCTCTACCGCTTCCCCTGTTTTGAATTTGGATTTTTCATATTCTAAAAGGATTATATTTAAAATGGTGATAATTATAGAGTGAGATATTCAACATATCAGAAATAGTAATCTAAAAACTACTTAGTTTTTCTAGAATTGGTAATAAATAGCAAGAGATGGTTCTTTGGGTTTTAGCTGTGAGGAAGAAGAGGAATAAAAACTGTTCTATCATCTGTTGACACAGAATCATATGCTACTGTAGTCATGTCTATGGTTTTCCTAAAAGTTGTTTAAAAATAATCAGTTTTTATTCATTTAAGTCATACTTGCTTTGCCTTTGTTCTTAGATAAATGCTTTTTTGTTTTGGGTTTTTGTTAACAGGATAGGCATTGGTAAGCAGTATAAACCACATTATTTTTTGATTATTTTATTTTCTGTCATATAAAAATCTATTGCACTTAGTAGACTAGAAATAAACCTAAGCATAACTTGAAAAATATTCATACATTAGCATCTATTTACTTTTTTTATTTTCCACTGCATTATTGAAGTTGATGAATGAGAAAGGAGGCAAGTTGAATGCTTTCTCCTCTTAGAAAACTTTGATTGCTATGGAGATACACATGAGTGACAGAACTGGACTTCATGTGTGTTTAAAGACTGGATACCATGGCAACAGTTATTGTTGAGATAGATCATTTTACTTAATCATGTAGGACCCCTAGATACATTTGCATAAATGCTACTCCACTGTTTACCCTTCACAGAAGAGTCCCAGTAACATTTGTGGTTTACATGTTAATGATAACCTGTAACCGTAGTTCTTTCTACATCAAGGATGAACTGCTTAGCAGAAAAAAGAGGGAGAAGAAGAAAAAAACAGGCAGCAGGAGTACAGAGGAAGCCAAACTTGCTGCTCTAGAGAAAAATGAAAGGTGGGAAGGAACTCTCATTTTCCGCATTTTCAAACATTTTATCAGCTACTGGTTTAGTTCTATCATTTTCTCCTTGCATCTTTGAAATATTTTATGAGAAAAATAGCTGTATTTGTAGTAACAGCCATTGCTGATATATAGTGTGCCAGTGTAGACATGTTTTCAGGTTTTGATTTGTAAATAAATGTGTGGAGATCAACAACAATTGAAAGATAAAGACTGAATTAATGGTATCTGGCTTATAGAAGGGTATTATTTCTACAAGTTGATTTTAAAAGATTTTACAACTTTTTACATCTTTGAAGATTTTTGCCTTTGATTACAGTTAACAAATTTCAATTTATTTAAGCTTCAGTTTATTACCGTACCAAGCAAGGAGTTCTTACGGGGTTTTTAATGCTTGTCTGATTTAATGCTTTTTATCTGATTAAGTTAAAAACAAGCGTGTTGGTAAAGGCTTCTAACACCATTGTTTGTTAAGAAACACATAGGGAAATAGTGACTTTCAGGACACTCCGAAAGATACCACCATTTCTTCTATTGATTCATAGAAAGAAATAAAGGGTTTAAATAGTTCACACAGCAGGGGCATGAACTGGATCAATGCAGGATGGAGATCAGAGACCATTCTGCCTGTCGTCTTTCCTGATGACATCAGTGAGTAATGCTCCAGTGAACTGCAAATGACATTAATTTTTATGTATTGTTTTGTTTATGCTACAGTCTTCATATCTGGTTGTCAGCACTTGTGAACACTTGGTTGAGGCTTGAGGTTTTTTCAGTTCTGGGGTTTTTTTAAACTGAAGTGATTATGTGGCTTACGAATTTGTTTTCTTGGAAGGGAAAGCCCTTTTGAAGAGATGAAAATACAGCGATGATTAGAAGTTAGCTGTTATACATTTTGAATATTTAATTCAAAATACATCTTTAATATTATGTAGTTACACATTTTTATAGGAGTTGACAAGTGGTAATCATCTTTAAGAATAACGGGAAAGTTCTGACTTTGTGCGGCAGTAATGAAAAACTTGTGATTTTATTTGACTGCAGAGTACTGGACAAACCACAATGGCATGACTTACTTCCATGCAAACTAGGAATATGGTTCTGTCTCACTGTGAAAGCTTTACCTCAGCTATTCCAGGTAATAGTAATGATTTTAATTTATATTACTTTATTTTTCTTGATGGTGTTATTATGCATAATCAGATGTGTAGCACTTGTTCTTAAGAATTTTCTGGCTCAAGCACATACCATATATATATACACACACACACATATAGATATGTAAAAATTACACTTTGGAGGCAAATTTAATACTGTGAGTTCATCAACATGAATATATTTTAAATGGATATTAATCTTAATGTGCTAGGGAATTTAGCAGCGGTTCCTGCTAGGCAAAACTACAAGAATAAATGATGGGAGAGGGATGATATGGATACATCTAATTAGGAATAGCAATGTCTTTTAGGTGATCTGTTAACAAAAGTATTTTTATTTCAAATAAGCAAATGCTGTGTTTTCAAAGCAAATATTAATATGTCATTTAAATTTGGGGGAACAGTGAAATTACTTTTTCTGATTGAGCTTTTTTTTTTGAGTCACTGCATAATGATATAAATTGATACCTGAAATTACTAAGGTAAAGTAACAAAGGTATGGTTGTAATTTATAAACATAAATATGGCAGACTTGCCCACAATTGTGGTTTTTTTTAACCTAACACTATAAACTGTAAAATTTAGCTGATACTCATCCAGTGTAAGTATTGTCAGATCAGTTATCAGAATAACTTTTTTAATATCACATGCTCTTTCTTTTCATTTCCTCTGAATACACCCATTTGTTTTTAATACCCTTGTCACTGCTAATGAATATGGATCAGGGAATGCAAGGTGGATTTTACTTTGGTTTACAGAAATATTGAGTATTAATTCTGAAATATAAATAGTATAAATGGCATCAGTGTTCAATTTCTGTGTTCAAGCTGGAAAAAGCATGTAATTCATAATTCGTAATCTGTTAGCAAAAGGCTTGTAAAAATTATAAATGCAATAAAGTCTGGTCTTTCAGCATCCATTTTTATAGCCTTCAACCTTTCCTACAAAGAGATGCAAAAGTTAATATCTCTTCCTTTTTTAAAAGTTTCATCAGAACTGTGTGGCTATTTTATTAAAGAAACCTTTCTTTTTGCAAGTTTTAATGAAGCATCATCATTTTTGCTTTAAAATCAACTGTTGTGTCCAAATGAAGCTTTGGTGTTCATCCCTCATTGAGGTGAGTCAGATGGAAAAGAATTAAGTTCAGCAATTGCTGTTGCTGCATTTTGAAACTTTCTTCATAATTACAGTTCTTTCCCTTTTGCCTTAATTGCAAAATATTTAAAATATTATAGAATATAGTAAGATTCATGAAGAATTTTAAATTAGGACTTCTTACAATCTCTCTAAGCTGTCATTTTCTCATTTTTATGACTTTAAGGTAGTCTGTTAAGTCAGTATAACGGGTTTCAGATTTTCTGTTCAAAAAGCAGCTCCTATGTCTGCCAGAATAGGCAGAAAAGATGAATACAACGAAAGTCATGTTTCACGCTTTGTAGACACCTAGCCAATACCTCTTGCTGTGAATTTTAAATCCATTAAAATAGTGGTAGTGGGAAAAAGCTATCCAATAACTTGTGGAAAATTGGAGACCAGCAAGCAGGGATTTGGTGGCAGGGGAAGCAGGGTGTAGAGGAATTCAGAGCTGGAAGGCTTTGGACCAAGGAGGAAGCGAAGAGATGGGGTTCTAGGGTAAATTGCCCCGTATGTAAATTACACAACGGCTTAACTCCAGGGTTTATTTTGTTGTTGTTTAAGATGACCTGCCGATTATGTCAGTTAAAATGCAATAAAATATAAGTAATCTTCAAAATTAAGAATATTCAGGACTTCAGGTACCTGAAATGAATTACTGTAGCTTATTAGTTAACAGTACTTAAAGAAGTATTACCTCTTCTGAAGAGCATAAGAGCAGCAGTGACCTCATGTTGGAGATGTTTTCTGAAATGACGGTGCAAAAGATACCTTTTATGTTGTAGCTAGCTGGACAGAGAGACCTCTGGGCTCTTTTTGAGTTGTATTTAAGGTTTTAGCAAGTTCTGCCTTAGTTGCAATTACCAACATACAGCAAAAAAGCAGCTATACCTACATGATTATACCCTGGTACAGAGATCCTGTTTTGAATATAAGTGCTTTTCTATATTCTACACTAACATAGGCTTGCGATTTCAGAGTATTTCAGGCTTTTAATGTAAATAGAATCACTAGGGCAGCTATGTGGAAGACAGGACTCCTACAGATATTGAGTAGTATTATATGTGCTAGTCATGCATGCAAATTATTTAACAAGGTGTTACAGTGGTTGACATAAGGATGGCTGCTACAGATTTTAGTTGTTTATTGAGTTAATCTAAATTATTTCTTCAGTCATTTAAGAGCCAACAAGTTATTTTCAAAGCTGGCTGTCATTCATCTGCTACTAATGCAATTGTAGATTAACTTCTAATAATGCATCCATATTTAAATGAACCCTGTTTGGGACAGAAAAGGGTAAGAGTTAGCAATACTTCCAATTAAATGTTGCTTCTGCCACTGAGTTTTTCAAAGCCCTGTCAGTGAAATACCTGAACTGCTTCCTCAAATTAAGGAAACAAAACCACCTGCCTGTGTACACAAGTTCTTCCTCAAAGGAAACTTTATTAAAAACAAAAAATCCCCCATAAAACCAAACCAACAGCAACAAAAAACCCCAACAAAATAAAACAAAAACCACAAGGAGGGGTCAATTTAAACTTTTTGCCACTTCTTGTATTGATTCCTTTTACCTAGCATCCATCTCCCCCCATTAGTTAGTGTGAATATTCTGCTTACAACAGCTCTGTCTCACGATTCAGGTTGCTGAGCTTCTGCCCATGCCTGGCTCTCATTTATCCAATTGAGTGTCTTTCTCCTACTTCCCCTCCTCCTTCAAAATGTCAGATTTCAGAAGGAGGCACTTAAAATAATTAAGGTGGGCCTTTACTGAAGAAAAATGCTTTGTTTGCATGCCCTTGTGGTGGCCTATGCCATTTTATCGTAGTCTGCATTTTATGTCAAGAAACTGGAAGAAAAATGGGTGAGAGGAGGATGAGAGATACTAAAAAGTGATTGTTTTTTTAAACTGTTGACAATTGTATTTTGAGAGAGACTACATAGGCTTTTATATCCACACATTTAGTTTAGTTAAATTTGGGGGTAAAAACAGTGTCCTTAAGCTTGTTTGAAGAAGCAAAGGGAAAAGAATACATAAAATGTATCATAAATCAAATATCTGTGGTGTGAAAGAAACATTAAGTGGAGTGTAAATTACATTGACTATTACCAAGTTTAATTCTTATAATGCAGGCTCAAGAAAAAGATAGAAAAAGAATGCAAATTGTTTCTAAGGTCACTTATAGTTTACTCTTTCATGAGGATGACCTGAAAGAAGGCTATATGTTTAAAAAAAATAAAGAAAAGGAGAAAGGGGGGACACCCCCCCCCCAAACAAAACTCAATTAGAATGCTTATTGGAACTGAAAATTGTTCTTACAAAGAAATAAACCAGCTAAATATAGTGTGCAAGAATTTCAGTTCAAATGGTGAATGTAATACAGAATAGACAGTTATGTTAAGTATACTTTTCTTTTGTGGGAGAACAGTCATATGTAAATTGCAGTTTATTCTCAAAACAGCTGACTAGAGTTTTTTCTTTGGATGTGCAGACATACAATGTAAGAAAAGTCATCTTTCTTAAAAATGTTGTTAATTATTCTTCACAAAATATTTCCTTCAGAAAACTGAAGATAGGAGCGTTAGTGTTCCTGTCAACTAATTTTCTTCCACCTTGATGTGGTGAAGCTTAGCAATGAATGTCTTTATTTTTACATCAACTTCATTAATGCTAGTCAGCACTAGGAAATGTTTTTTATTAGTTAAATTATGAGCCTGTTGTTGTCCTGAGTGTAATGAAGCAGAAAACATTTTTGTTTGTCTCAGACAGAAATGGATTCTTGTTAAGAAAATAAAGTTTCCTGTTATCTTCTATCTGTAATAGTGTAGGTGTAGCACATACACCCTAGCAGTGAACAGTTGAAAGAACTTCCGGTGGCTCACCAGTAATGGGAAGGCAGTTCAAGCTCAATACATAGTTGCACTCGGTATAACCTAGTGAGATTATCAACAAAGCTTTCAATTACAATTGAAACTTTTGTTTATAAAGACCTTTGTGTAGCATGAAGTGAATTAAAACAAAAAGGCCAGTAATTTATTTTTATGTAGACTACCAGATGGTAATTACTGTAGCTGATTTAGTAGCCTGGAATAGATTCAAACTAGTGACCCAGAGGTGTTTAATTTTTTGGCATTTTTTCCTCAGGTTTTCTTTTAATCCACGATTACATTTCAACACCGGTTTAGAGATCGTTCAGCTTTGGCCTTAAACGGATTGGCAATGTGTCATTAAACTCAAGAGGCTTTGCCAGCAGGGCATCTCCTTTGGCAAAGTTAGCTTTTAAGCAAGATTTGATTAGGTGAGCAAACATTTGTGTGGGTTGTTTTTGTCTTCACATATGACTATATATAAAATCATCGTGTGAGATTAAAATAAAATTTATTGCATTTAATAACGTATGCCTTAAAGAGACTTTTTTGAAGGGATTTATTCAAGTCAGTAAGGTTAAATATCTCCTTAATTCCCAGCTTTACAGGGTTTTGACATGTCCCAACTTACTGTACAACACCAATGTTGATATAAGTTGTGGGGAGCAAGCAATTGCAGGATGTGTGGCACGAGTGATTGCCCATTTGCTCTCTTTCTTGCTATTTCGCAGCTGTTGGGAGAACCAAAGTAGGGATGAAGCTCTTGACCCTGAGGTCAATTAGAAGCTTAGAAGCAGGTCAGAGGAGAGTGGATGGTAAAACAAGTATTCTGGGTGTATGCAAGTGAGCAAAAATAATTTGTGTCTTAACAGGGTGCTGTCTGAGGCTCTGGAGACAAAATGTGCTTTCCTGCATAGTAAAAGTTTTAAGTAAATGTAAGACACTAACGAAATTTGCCTTTAATTGCCTGTTGTTCTGTGGCAGCCAATTCTGTTCTGCTCCTACAAATCACTTACAGTATGTCTGCATATCCCAGCACACGCGTTAGAGGAGTGTAGCTCCAAGAGTAGCTCGTGTGTATGAGGCAATACTGGCTCTCAGTGGTACTGTTCTGTTGTGGTATGAGGCTTCACCGGGTGTGAATGGGTCCCAGGGAGGCCTTGCAGCATTGGCCTCAGTTCCCCCTTCTGGCTGCCTTTGTTTCACCAGTGTGGATGTGGAATACCCAGCAGATACTGCCTTAGCACAGCCTGCTGCTGGTCACCTGGTGCATCCGAGGCTTGGGAGCCATGCTTCAACTGCCCACAGGCTGTACACGGCTGAAGAGCCCAGCCACACCTGGTATTATTCCAAGGTCAAAGCATGATTTTCTGATTATAAAGGAGGAAGTAATGCAATTCCTATTTATTTACTAGTTTGCCTTTGAGTAAACATGTAAAAATGCCAGAGAGAAATATAAATCATAATGTTTAATTTTTTTTAACGTTATTTCTTACTGTAACACATTGATATTACTAGTTTATAAACCCATCAAAAGAGTGTTTTTGCTGTGGTATAATGGCTGGCATTTTTATTGTGTAGAAATAGCAAATTGAAGGGCGGATGTTGCGGTAATTTTAATTTAACTCCTTTTTCTCTCTCTGTTTTTTGTACAAATTGTACAAGAACACTGTACTCAAAAGACAAAAAATTAGTTCAAGAACTTCATAACAAATACTTCTCTTTAAGTCTATAGATTGATGTAATAAGAATTAATGCAAAGAAAATTATTTCAAGATACTGGTTTTAAGTATGCTTGTGGGAAAGTTTTCTGTTAACTGTAAATTCTGAGGGGATGCATTTTGTTTGAGTCCCTCACCCAGAGAAGTAAAATATGAAGCTGATTCTGTCACAAAATATGTAATGAAGATTCACATACGGCCAATACAGCAAGTTGTTTCCAATGTTTGCCTTATTTCTCCTAATCTCCAGTCTTTCTGAGGTAGACCAGAAAGCCAGGAAGATTAACTGGAGGGGAAAAAAAAAAACCACAAAGCAAACAAACCAATAAAACCTCATCACCCTCCCCAGAAGTCAAGGAGAGGCCGGAGTGGCTGAGTCTTACTCAGAACTGAAGTTTTTAGTTTCAGAATTAGTACAGTTTGAACAAATACTGTATCTGTTGATTTAAAAACAACAAACAAACAAAACAAAACACCTGAAAATCCCACAAAAAAACCCAACCAAAACCCCCAAACAAACAAACAAAAAAACCCTTAGAAGTCCAGTATCAAGAATTTCTGTATTTCTGCGTAACTCAAGTGCAGCTTTGTCTTGGCTATCTCAAATTTTTTGGCAAGAGATGATACTGACATAAAAAGGAACTGACATACAAGAATTTTTCAATATTCCTGGTTCTTAATTTTGGGTAAAATACTGAAAATATGTTAATGAAGTGTTTGTCCATCAAATTTATTTTTCTTCCACAACACTTTCTCAAATTTTTGGTTAAATATGAGGGTAAACACAGTAACTTCCTATACGTGGCAGTTGAAATATAATTTAGAGATACTAATAGCAGAATTTTGTGTTTCTAATACACTCTTTTTTTCATTCTGTTCCTTTTTGGAAAGTGTACATTTGAAATCACAGTATAATAAACCAGCGTATATTATTCTTCATTATTCTTTTTGCTTTAACTACATGCATAATACTGCTTTGATGGTGAAGAAAATTAATGTATTTGCGCTGATGTTCTTTTTTGAAAACTTCTCAAACTCCTGCAAATGAGAACAAAATATTTCTGATTAGGTAAGCTGGAGCTTTTAGTTAGAACAGTTCCAAGCTTTTTATTTGTGTGTCTCTTTCCTCTGTCCCTTTCCACCCCCAGAGGGACAAAAATGTTGCTTTTCTTATATTTATTACCTATTGAAGGTGAGGTATACCTCAGGTATGAAATTTTGATGTTGCATATATTTTGAGCTGTTTGGAAAAAGGTCCTCTAGAAGAAAAATCATTGCTGAATATTGGGGAAGGAGCATTAGATTGGAAGAGGCGGTATCTATATTGCCAGTGTTTTTAGGGCCCTAAAACGTTTGTATTGAGGCAAAATGACTGCTTAAATGTATCACTTCGGAAAAGTAAAAGATCTGAACATAAATCTATTTTGAAATACTCTTACTGCTGAAACTGAATATGCTTGAAAATGAATATTCGTGTTTAGACTGATACTGTTGAAAACTAATGAGGGGTAAATTGAAATGTGCTTATTTATGTTAAGGCAGAAGTTTTCTTCAAAGAACTTCCTATTTTAAACTGTTTTCCAGTGTTTCTTTCATTTTGACTTATAAGGTCTAATACCCATATAGTTTGTGTCTGTGGCTAAAATCTTTACTCAGGTATGTCTTTTAATTTCTCTTTACAACCTGTAGAGCCATTTCTTATGCTTTTGTGGGAAGGATTTGATTTTCAAATCTTCAAAATCCATTTTGATCAAAATTTTTTGGGTTTTTCTTTGCTTTACTTTGTATGTATACATTTTTATGTGTGCTTCAAAATGTGCAGTCTCCCCTTTTTTTTGTGATTATGGTATCAGCCATAATAAACTGTGATTAATAAGATAAAAGTATAATGTTGCCTTTGTTACCTTGATATTACTCCTTTTGCAGTGATAATCCATTTTATATCTATAAAGCAACAATACTACTAAATTTCATTTACGTGCTTCTGACTAGTTTTCTTTGTTGTTCAGCTATTGTGTCTCATTTTCATCTGAGCCACATTTCCAATTGTTCTGTGATTGACATGCTAGAGAGATTGACAGTTACCCCCTAGTGCCTGCTGTCTGGAGATCCCACAAGCAATAATGGATTTTACACCAGAATTTAGCATCAAATATTGGCTTTCAGTGTCAAATGGGTTAAATTTAAATGCCAGTTAAATGTAGCCATTTTGAAATCATAGCCTTAAACAAAAGCGTTTTTTTGGGTATCAGTATATCTGAGTCCTGTGTATGCAATGCAACCCAAACGTCTCAAACTTATAGCAGAAGTTAACCATTACATTTATGACTGTTTCTGTTTCTTAATGATGCATATAGTCCAAATCTGGAGAGTACAAGGAAAGTTTCCATATGTGGTAGGGAATTCATATTTCAGGTGAACCGAAAAGAGAACCAATGCTGATCCTAATTTTCTCATTCAATGTAATAACATAGAAACTGAATATGTTTCCTGAAAGCCTTCGTATCTGCTGTTAATGGTAGTCCTCCTGTACCTACACACATTTTTTAGCCCCAATTCTACTAAAACCACCAAACCCCCCCTCTTCCCCAGCCCCCAAAACAAAACTGTAAGCATGTGGGATGCTTTCAGACTTGTAAAGGTGAGACGTCTCCAAAACATTACAAAGTTCTGCTCAGAGCTGGATCGTGATTGTCTGCTGTGTTGTCCCACCTCCCTCAAGTATCTTTGAAGGGGTAGATACCAGTATAACGCAAAGAACAACGGTTGTGTCGTAGTATCTTTGCAGGAAGCAATGTTTTTGGATGACTTCTACCATTAGAGGCAGCAATAATGACTGCTTAACTCAGGTTTTATTTTCAAAATTTATTAAGATGTCTTATTTCATTTTTAATGAGACCAGGTTTTGTTCAAATTTATGGGATTATAGTTGAAATTATAAAAATATTTACTGATGTTTTACAATACATTCTACATCAAAATTTAAATCACCCTTTATATGTAAAAAGAGGGACCGTTAATAACAAGAATAAAATTATTTTTGTCTATAAAGAACTAAAATTAGGTTTATCTAATACTATAATTTTTATTTAATACTATAGATGTTCTGCATGCTTGGAAATTATAAATAATAATTTATTTCAGCATTTCTATTATAGATTCATTGTTTTTAAGTGAGTATAGAAATCTTTTAAACTGTAAGTGAGAGTAAGAAAACTCTCCATACCTCTTTTTTCAGCAATCTGGTTGTTCATATTGGAAAGCTTTCAACGCAAATCTATAATTACTAATTCATCAGATTTTGGAAATGTGTAAACTTACTGTGAGATTTGTGACAGGACTTCTAGTTTTATGTTTAAACTTGCCAAATAAATTTCAGATTAGAATCTAATCTAATCCTTGGAGAAAAAACTTAATATATATTTTCAACACTTTAATAGCAATGTAGAAGTTGGTTTAAAAAAAAGGGGGGGGGGAGGGGGAAGTTGGGTTTTGGAACATGCAGTTGGTGTTACCATAATGGGTTCACCCTAAGACGACTGCTGCCTAGCAGTTGCCTCTGTTTGTCCCTGTACACACTAGTTAAAAACTTTTCTTTCTTTCTTGAACTTCCAGATTGATGATGTGAGCAAAGTGGGTACATGGCCTCTTACAAAGCTGTAGGGAGTGATCAGAAATGTTTTTCTAACCATTTTGCTTTTCAGGTTGTTGAGGAGCATCATAGCCTATAATATCAACGCTATTACATTTGAACATTTATTACACAAAAATTCTACATTCTAAACAAATACTTTCTATACTGAAAATTACTGTAACTCAAGCAAACGAATATATCTTAAATTTTTTTGCAAGGTTAATTGAGAACTTAAAACAGAGCCATTGCAATAACTTGTTTGTATAAGGATGCTAATGCCATTGCAACATTTTCTTAAAGGATGCCAGACAATTATATGTAGAATATAAAGAAACAAAAATGAAGGCGAAAGAAGATGCCCTGGCTAAGGCTGAACTTGAAACACTTCAGAGTGAGTTTTTACCACTGTCTTAATAAACAAAGATGTACTATGATATACCTACTACACAGGATGTATGTGAACAAACATTTTTATAATCTTCTAAAATATGTGCTTTATGTATTTTTGTACTGCTGTTAAATTTAAATAAGCTTTTAATTTTCTGACTGATTTTGCAGTAGGATGCTGGTTTGTTCCTATAGAAGCATAAAACTCAGGTGGTAGCTATATAGTAGCAACAAAAGCATAGTTTGCGAGAAATGTTGCTTTACAAGAGAGGGAAATCTCAAATGTATAGATCTCGAAGTACACATTTTCAGAATTGACCTCTTGCGTTTTGAGCATTCTTGTATTCTCTTTGTCTATAAATATTTTTTAAAATAATATATTTAATAATTCTTTTGTGCATATTCAGTTGATTTTTATGATAGAAATTGAACATAATTTGAATTTCCAAAAGCATGGATGCAGACTTCAGCGATGGATTCGTGCTATTGTTGAAATAAATGCCTTAAAGTCTTTACACTCTTATAAAAGACCAGAGAAGGCAATTAGCATTTCCCTTAACAAAGTATTCAGAATAATTATAGGTGACTTGTCCTTTTCTTCTTTCAGTTATATGTGTTTGCCAATTATTAAAGTTACCCTCTTCTGAAGGCAATTTTAAAAGTTTTTTTTGTCTCTGTTTGTATGTGCGTGCTTGCTTTATTTACTGTACTTAAGTGCATGCTTTTAAGTTCCTTTATTCTGACAAGTGCATTGAGTGCCCTGTAATAATTTACTAGCTTTGAGTATGGCATAAGCCTTTAGGCACTTAAAATACAACTGCATTATTTATATTTATAAAATAGCTTAATTTTGTAAAATCAGCAAAGAGATCCAGTTTCAGTGATAATTCCTAACTTACCTGTAGCTGAATCTATTTTGAGAAAATGGATAACATTCAGCACCTCAGCGAGCATCATGGACCCAGGCCAAATCTAGCAAAACGGTGCATTTAATGCTTGTTAGGGAAGCTTGGCCATTATGTTTGAGATACCTACCACAAAATGGGCCCTTGAAAAGGGTCTTGACTCGGGTTATTAGAAACTTGTTATAACGTGTTGCCATTGTTCAAAATAGCTGGCATACATTCTTAATTGAAATCTGCAAACTACTGTTTTAAATGGACTGGTTTTTGAAAACAGAGGTGCAAGTGAAAGTATAAAGTCATTAAAATTGTAGTGCGCATGTTCCTGTGTTTCACTGAAAGACCACGTGTGAACTTTTCAGTATTTCTCCTCTGCCAGGTGTCACGTGAGAGTCACTTACTGTTTTTTTGTGTTACCTCCAGTAGCAGTGCCCACACGTGAGAGGTGTGGGTTTGGCACACTTCCCTCTCCAGGTCACCCCTGACCTCTGACAGAAGCACCACCCTGTCACCTGTCATGCTGCCGGGTGTGACATGGCGTGTGACCCCCATGTCTGCCAGGTGACCCAGTGTCACTCGCGTGCGCAGGGTCAAGCCCTCACCAGTCTCACTGGTTGGCGTCCTGCCCTCCCTCGGTAGACTTGCTGGCAGGGAGCAAGAGGAAGGATTAAGAGTCACCACCTGTAATTAGCAGAGTTTGAAATTTGGCACGGAGTTAATTTGGTCAGCCATAGCAGTGCTATCGCTGGGCAGCAGAATGAGCTGTCAGTTAACTTCTCTTAAAAGAAATAAGACTCCCAAGAGAAGAACAAGAGCTGCATCTATGTTACTGTAGGCAAAAAAAAAAATTACGTAATTTTTTCCTCAAGCTTGTATGCAAAGCATCTGTTAAGTTTGCCTATTTCATTATATTGTTCTGCATTGTCACTTCACAATTAGCATAGAAAGGTTGCAAATCGCCAAATGTGCATTTTGTTTGCCCCCATTCTCCTTAATTTTAGAGACCATCCATGGAATGCGAGTTCATAATAACAGTTCCATCTATCTAATTGAGTAAATGTATCTCATGCCGATTAGCAATAGCTGCTTTATAGTGCTTGTTTTTTCATGACCTAATTGCTAGTTTACCCCCACGTCTGTCTGCTT